CATAGAACTAGCAATAGTTAGAGACACCCAGGGCTCACCCCCTGGCGGCCTTTGCCCTGATCAGGGATAGTGGAAAACGTGCAAGTCACGAGCCACGGCCGTAAAATATACACACACACACACACACTGTCCCCTTTATTCTATGGGTAAAGTAAGCATGCTTCCATATCCTATCGAAGGCAACATTCTATCATCCGAAAGGAGGTCTGACGTTCCAAAGGATAGAGAACTACAGCATCCTCCTCGCAACGTTCGCGCCAATGATTCGTCTCTTCGCGTCAATGGTGTCGACAGAAAAGGGACCGAGTGGTGGGTACTGGTCCAACAGCCGGTCCAAGAGTAGCCACGCTGGCCTGGAACTGGATTCGCAACCACATACGCAAAGAAAGGGAGCGGTGGTCATGTCTATCTCTGCTGGGGAGGAGGCAGTCAAGCACAGGGATGACGAGTGGAAAAGGGCCAGCAGTAGAGCACACCGGAGACCTCACAGTAGTGACGCACAAGATACGTCTAACGCAGTGACTGTTCGAACGGAGATTGTCGTCCGGGTGTCCTCGGATGAGGCTTCAACAGAGAGACTGGTCATTTGAGTATCCATCTTTGAGGCCATTTATGTGTGTTAGGAAAAGTAATTGATTCCCTTGGCTATGTTTGATGAACGGTCTACTAATGGAATATTCTAATTGACTACAAATGTTCTTCCCCAGAAACTGAGGTGAACCAGAACATGGCATAGATAGCTTTTGGTATTATGTGATGTTTCTTTTGTACCGAGTCTGGACCAGTCTAGATGAGTCAGTCCTCGGACATGGAGACGAGACGGAAACAAATGATAAATCATAGTCCCGGACTTCTGGGGAAGATGGTCGGTAATTGATCTAGATCCTCGCATTCGTCGACAGACTAGACTTATATCCGATTAGAACAATTAGTCGGAGGGGCCTGTACTGCATTTAACATCGAGGTCCGCACCATAGTAACGATGGATCACCAGATTCAACATGGCAAGCATGACCAGCACGATGAATGCTACAATTGAGCTCTCGTTAATCAGAGATCAAAATGTCGTCTCTACGCTGCATAGTCCAGAAGCCTCAGACAATCTGCATGATGCAGCGACACAACGGAAGAACGTACAGATTATCGCCATTATGCTGGCTCTCTGTGTGAGTGCTTACCATGCTAATGCTCCACAGGAAATGATCACTGACCCATCTTTCCCTTAGTTGTCCCTTTTCATTGCTGCGCTCGACCAGACGATTGTTGCGACCTCGTTGCCGACAATTTCCTCCCACCTTCATTCGGCGGATGGATACACCTGGGTAGGAGGAGCCTATCTGCTAGCAAATGCGGCGGCTGCACCCATTTGGGCCAAACTTTCCGACATCTGGGGCCGCAGACCGATCCTGCTGATTGCCGTGCTATGGTTTCTACTCAGCTCCATCATCTGCGCGGCGGCAGTCGATATGACGATGTTAATTGTTGGCCGAGCCCTGCAAGGCACTGCGGGGGGTGGATTGATGCAGCTCGTCATGATTGTCGTTTCCGATCTGTTCAGCGTAAGGTGAGTGAGCATAATCTTCTCTTGCTAGCATAGTCGACACTGGAAACTGAATCGACTGATCCCTTTCCAGGCATCGAAGTCTCTATTTAGGGATTCTAGAGTTCATCTGGACCATCTCTGGCGGCCTTGGACCAGTCCTCGGTGGTGTCTTCTCGGAATATGTCTCCTGGAGATGGAATTTCTGGATCAATTTGCCAACATGTGGACTTGCATTCGCTTTGCTGTTCTTATTCCTTGAAGTCCATAATCCTAGGACCAAGATGTGGGACGGCATCAGAGCGATTGACTGGATTGGAAGTCTCTCTGTCCTCAGCGTGACCCTTATGCTGCTTCTTGGCTTGAACTTTGGAGGAGAAACTTTTGCCTGGAGTTCGCCTCAAGTCATCTGCCTGCTTGTCTTTGGGACTCTGTTCCTCATCGTCTTCTTTTATGCGGAAAAGTACCTTGCCAAATACCCGCTTATGCCCCTTCACATCCTCAAGCACCGATCGAACCTTGCCGTCTCCTTGGTTACCTTCTTCCACGGATTTGTGAGTCCTTCCAAGCGTATTTGAACCGTGACATTGACTCAGAGGAACGACTCCATTCACAAATGCTAACATGTCCAGGTGTTTATCGGCTGCGAATACTACCTCCCCCTTTACTTTCAGTCAGTCAAGCAAGCGAGCCCTATGCGGTCCGGACTCCTGGTCCTGCCACTTGTTTTGGCCGAAGGACTGTTCAGCGGAGCATCGGGCTGGCTCATCCATCGGACCGGCCGATATGTTGAACAAATCTGGACTGGAACCTTCCTGCTCACCATTGGAGCGGGGCTGTTCATCCGCCTCGACTCCACATCGTCGCCGACTGAGATCATCATTCTTCAAATTATCAGCGGAGCGGGTTCGGCTATCCTATTTGAGCCCCCGTTGATCGCCTTACAATCCCTTATCGCGCAAGAGGATACCGCAAGTGGGACTGCCATGCTCGGTTTCATTCGAACAATGGCCATGTCGGTCTCGATCGTCGCCGGCGGGGTGATCTTTCAGAACAGCATGGCGGACAAAAGAGGGCTTCTGGAACATGCTGGCCTCATGGACGAGCAGGCTAGTCAATTGACTGGGGCCTCGGCTGCCGCTAGTACCGAAATCATCAAAAGCATTTCCGACCCGGAGAAAGCGAGAGTAATTGCCGACGCGTTCTCTTCTAGTTTGCGAAACATCTGGATCATGTATACTTGTGTGGCTGGGCTGGCTCTCATTGCAAGCGTCTTTATTGTCAAGAACCCATTGAGTGAGGAGCATACCGAGACTCGGACAGGACTGAAGGAGGAATGAGCCATAGAAGCAAGGCAGAGGTATGCTTGTATTCATATGATGCCATATATCTAGACCAATCTTAAACTACGATACATACACATTATCTTGAAACGTTATATCAGTGCAATGGATAAGTCAAGCTGACGCGGTGCTTGTTGTGAGGAAACCGACGTCGCTTTTTATACCGACCGCGGTTTCCACCAAAGCGACATCGCTTTCTCTAAGAATATATCTCAGGGATCCAATTCGATTTCAGTCAGACAATATTACTTTGTATGCATAGTTAATACCGCTTGTCCTATTCTGCTGATTTTTGCTCGACCATCATGGACTCCGTGCTGAAGAACGTCTGCTACTTTGATACTCGGACCCTTGCGCTCATCGTCATCACGGTTCTCATTCTTCGCATTTTCTATCGCGCATTCCTGTATCCAGAGTTTTTTACTCCTCTGTACGAACTTCCTACTCCGCGGGAACGGTCATTGACTAGGGGAAATTACACCAAGTCCGATTCATCATCACATTTCGCGCGTCTGCGGCATTGGAAGGCAACTGTCGCCAACCGCGGCCTGGTCAGATATTACCTCCCAGGGAACCAGGAGAGAGTCCTCATCACAAACGTGGAAGCCCTGAACGACATTCTTGTCTCCAAATCGTCTCATTTCGCAAAGCCCGAAGCGGTCAAACGGCGTCTGTCCCGCATTACAGGCAATGGGTTGCTTCTAGCTGAAGGGGAGATCCACAAGGTCAGCACACTGGCAAGTTTCAATCACAGGGGGTAACAAAAACTATAGATGCAACGAAAAAGTCTTATGCCGGCGTTTTCTTTCCGACACATCAAGGATCTCTATCCGATATTCTGGTCCAAGTCGGCCGAGATGGCCAGGCGCCTCGAGACTGAGATCACCAGTACCCATTCAAATAACAAAGGTGTTGTTGAGGTGAGGCGATGGGCAACACGGGCGACGCTTGATATCATCGGCTTGGCCGGGCTGGGACACGACTTTGACTCCCTTCAAACCCCGAATAGTTCTCTCATGTGGCAGTATCGACAAATGCGACAAGATCCATCTCGTTTGGAGAGTGCATTGACTACCTGCCTGCTATTCTTGACCGACTATGCCGACCAGATCGTATCCCTCCTGCCGACCAAGCGGATGGCACAGATAAAGGCCGCATCTCAGGCTGTCCGAACGGTTTGCCACGGAGTTCTTGAAGCCAAGAAGAAAGAAAAGACGTCAGGCTCATCAGGCCAGGGAGGCAGTGATATTACGACTGTTGCCTTGGATAGCCGGATGTTCACTGATAGCGAGCTGGTGGATCAAATGATGACATTTTTGGCCGCTGGACATGGTACCACCTCCCACGCCCTGCAATGGGCCGTGTATGCGCTCTGCAAGCATCCGGAGATACAGGATCGCCTTCGAGAAGAGATTCGCTCGAATTTGCCATCTGTCACTGATGGTGGATCCGCTGTCTCGGCTACCGATCTGGATAGCCTGCCGTATCTGCGTGCAGTTTGCAGTGAAACCCTACGATTCTATCCTCCTGTGCCGTCCACCATCCGAGAAGCACTACATGACACTACAGTTGCTGGCTATCATGTTCCCAAAGGCACCGTTTTTACCATATCCCCGGCAGTCACGAATGTGGACTCGGAACTCTGGGGTTCTGATGCGGGGGAGTTCAACCCCGAGCGATGGATGAAAGAGGGATGTGCGAATTCAGGAGGTGTTAGCAATCATTTTGGATTTCTTACTTTTCTTCAAGGCCCACGCAGTTGCATCGGGGCCACATTCGCGAAAGCTGAATTGGCGTCTCTGCTGGCTGTGCTTGTAGGTCGATTCCGCATGGAATTGGAGGACCCCAACAAGGAAGAAGAATTGACGAAGCGGGGAGTTGGTGCTGCCCCTGCGGATGGAGTGCGTGCCCGGTTTGAGGTTATCGAAGGATGGTAGAGATTGTAAGGGCAGTTGTTGTGCTATTTAGCGGCTGGAATATATTGGGAATAGAGAGTCACTTATGTCAATGTCACTAGTAACTAGTTAGTTAGTTAGTAGTTTATCTGGATCTTCATTTGCTGCATGCATCTGTCCAACTATTAGTCACCAAACGGGGTGAACCATGATCCAGCCATCATCGGGCAAATCGGCACGAGACGAGGCGATCATTAAATGCGACATTCCGGATGACTTCGACTTCATAGACCTTGAGGATCTCACCATTGTCCCTGACAGTAAATACATCTCGATTCTACACAACCAGGATGAGAGGGAGAAAGGTGAACCATGTGGCGTGCGTTTACTGTCGCCAAATGAAGGTAATAGAAAACAAAATCCTCTTCTACAAGAAAGCTGTCTAAGCTCAGCAGCGAGCGTGTGATCGATACAAGCAACTTCCTGGCCCCTGTTCAAGATGCTCCAAGGCAAACAAGGTGTGCTCAATCGACCCGTCTTTTCGGCGGCAAAAAAAGCGACGGTAAGCCAGTTAACCTATGATTATTGATTATGGCTGATCCGACATGGGACAGAAAGCTAGCCGAAATCGAACAAGAATTACAGCAAGTTAGATATCAACTGGAGAGTCAAGATCAGCAAGATAAAAGCAGGGTTAACAATGTCATGAGAACTCGCTCATGTCCCCGTACAGATGGGGAAACCGAGAGCATTGGTCTCTCCTCGATGGACAGAACTATTGGGGGTGTTCGCATACCACAAGCATTGATTCAAATCCTTTTAAACGAGTAGGACTATCCCTGGGTGTGTCCCTAATAAGAGCCTCGCTGACAGCATACTGATACTAGCTATTATGCGAATTACCACATGTTCCTCCCCGTTCTTCCGGATCAAGCAGGTTTCCAAGCCTATACTCGTTCCTCTCATCTCCTTTTCTCAGTAGTGATGTTGACCGCTCTGAGACGAATGTCAGAGCACTGCGACCTCTATCTGTCCCTTGTTGATGTTGTGCGATCGCTGTTGGCAAACTCTTTTCTGCCGGCAAGCGATAGCATTCAGACGATGCAAGCGCTATTATTACTCTGTCACTGGCCACTTCCGTTCGACAGAAATGAAGATCCATCGCATACCCTCATCGCGCAGGCTACTCACCTTGGACTCCGCTTAGGCCTTCATAGGCCGGGTCACGGAAGAGAATTTCAGGCAGCTGCACTCCCTGTAGAAGACATGGAACATCTACGGCGAACGACCTGGATAGCCTGCTTTATTTCGAATATCAGGTGAGTACGGGATGTAATGCCAAACTCGGCGATACCAGTTCTCATCCTTCTCAGTATCAGTGCCCAGCTTGGACTTCCGGCTACAGTTCAGCTCGATCAAGGTCTCCTGGAGATTCTGGCCTCGAAGCCCGCCTGGCTTCCAGAAACCTTTTTCTTTCAACTGCAGACGGCCTCACTCGCATCGAGAATTAGCTCAACGCTTGGGGGCTGCGAATGGTCCGCCGTGGTTCCGACACATGAGTATGCGATACTGGTTCGTCACTTCGAGACCGATTTCCGTTTGCTGGAGAATCAATTTGCTGCCTCCTGGTCGCTGGCGGATCACATCGTATACCTCGGAACTCGGCTCATGCTTTACATCATTGCCCTCAGTACGGATGATCAAACGGGACAGTTAGGCGGTCAAGCCAGCTCACTGTCATTCTGGGTAACTTGTAGTTACAGCACGGCAATCTGCCTGATTGAGAAGGCTTCTTCAATGGGAAGAAAATGGCTCTTTGCCCCTGTCCGCCTTCATAAGATCATTTTGAACGCGATCTGCTTTCTCTTGCTATTGAAGCGTTCCAAGTACAGGGAATCTTTTGACCTGATTATGCTTGGCAACACGATTAACCAGGGGCTTGGATTATTGCAGGGGTTGTCAGTAACTCCAGGTGACTTTTTGTCCCGTGCAGTTTCGTTGCTTGACCAGTTGAGTCGACTTGCCGACAAATTTATATCAGGAGACAAATCCAATGAATTCTTGCCAGTGAAGTTCAGAATGGGGGCGAATGTTGCTTTCAGTACGGCAGTTCGAACTAGGGAACTGATCAAAAGACAACAGGATGATCAAGAGTATTATGATATGGCTGATGTGCCTGATATGCAGGACATTGATCGGCTTCTGGACATGGACTGGAGGGAACTATTTGGAACAGGAATCAGTCTGAGCTGTTAATGTCAAGCAAATGCCACTTTCACTGAGGTCAATATGGATTTACGAACCTGCGTCCTTTGGAGATGGATGCATTCTGAAGAATATTCAAGGTCTCATGCGACATGTCTAACGAGACCTGCCGATCAGAAGGATGGTGTCGGGATCAGATGAGCACTCCACGACCTAGGAAGGGCATCGCGTCTACATGGCAGTCGTGATGTCGAGATCCCTGCGTAAGGGAGCCTAAATGATCTTTTCCACACCCAGAAGCCAGCCCAGCTCCGCCTCAATCTGATCGTAAGGAAGACCAGAATCTCGCTGGTTCCATATCACGCCACTCTCCGCGACGATCATAGTTCCATCGCTGCTCATAACGAGACCAGCCCCTTGAGTCTCATGGGAGAAGCAGAGAAGGTAGCACTCTCGACGACATTGCGTGCGAAGTCAGCGTTTTCTGGCAAGCACTGTTCATTTATGGCAGCATTAGGATATCGATGATCCCCGTTGAAAACATGAACACAACTAGGACTCAAACCAAGAAAAACAGTGATCCATGATCTAACAGTGGCATGGATGAGGCCCAATCGCTTGATTCCTCTTCCAAATAGGTTTCCTACAGGGTTATAAGCGGATTGCTGGCCAAGCTCCCAGGAAGTCACTCCCCAATCATCGAAGCAATGGCCCCGTCCAAAGGACAACGATGGTAATTGCTGCGAACAGCCATCTTATCCAGCACCGTTCCATGTGCCGCTGATCTGACAGAGCGATTGAAACTTTGGCCAAGGACAACCTGGGAGAAGAGCACTTTCGGCTGAAATGATGTCGAAGACTACCCGGATACCCCACCACAGCGCAATGCAATCCTCTTTGAGCGTATTGGCCTATTCAGCACAATCACGGACTATGCCGTTGGTAACTACGGGGGACTTAGTGTCTGTCCCTTGTTATCCCAAGCCAGTAGTATAGGATGAACAGGCGCGGGGCTAGATTCGACTAAGAGGGGCACATTGCAGCAATCATAGAATGACCCCGCAACTGGGTGACTTCCGCTAGAAGCATGACACATGGCGATATAGACATGAAGTTTTGCATAACCTGCCCATTATGCGCGGCTTTCATACTCCACCAACCAGGAAGCCATCGTGCTTCGACGTTGCGGTGTGCTTATGGCTGAGTCGGCTTCTAGATTCCTCCAACCAGAACTGGAAGATCCTAGATGCGGGCCTATATATGGTCATTCTAGCCTGCTCACGGAGCGCTTTTTAGGTGTTGAGACTCGTGACAGCGAAAATGAAGCTGGCTTTTACCGTTCTTGTGCTCGCCCTAACCCCCACCGCCACGGTCAGCGCGCCCCTCCAGCAGCGCTCCCGAGCACTGTTGAAGAAGTTCACTTCACTCGTGGTCTTCGGCGATAGCTATACCGATAACGGGGTCCGATCATACACGCCGCCAGTTGCAGCTGAGGTACAGACCCGAAAGCCTTTATTGAATCGAGTTGCTTACGATCTCCCAACAGTCAACCAAGACAAGTGACGGCGGTCGTGTTTGGCCCAGTTACATACGTCAATACACCGGGGCCAACATCTACGACTACGCCAAGTCAGGTGCGGTTTGCGATGTTGTTGTCGCAGGCACAGTTCGCAACGCCGTGAAGCAGAATCAGGTCCCTACCTTTTTGGCGGATAATGGTTATGTGAGCAATACAACCGGACAGCCTGCCCTGGTCAATCCGCCAGATGAAACGGTCTACGCCATCTGGATTGGCACCAACGACATTGGCTACGGTGGCTTCCTCACCGAACTAGAGCCCGCGGGAATGCCTCTGACATATATGACTGATTGTGTCTACGCACAACTTGATCGGCTTTACGCGACAGGCGCGCGAGTCTTTGTGCTTATGAACATGGCGCCATTGGACCTGACACCCTTGTATGCTCTTCCGCAGAATGGCGGCTCAGTGAACGCGCAGTATTGGACCGACAAAGCCGCTTATGACTCCAATATCACTCGACCAAGCGAGAAGATGCGCCAGTATGTAAAAATGGTCAACACTGTGTATGACTATCAAACACCATATGATGTCGTCGTCGCAGATCGATATCCGCATAGTATTTTTGCTGTTTATGATGTGCATGCTTTGGTGAGACTGTCCATTTGCCAGTCTAGCTCTAGGTGATGAGACTGGCTGATCCTTCTCACAGATGACTGATATTTGGGCAAACCCTTCGCATTATTTGAATGGCACTGCACCGTACAACGTCACCAGTTCTGTTTACCGCTGTGGCAGCCCCTGTGCATCCAATGAGGCTCGAGACAGCTACTTGTGGTATGATGATCTTCATCCATCGGAGCAGACGGATCGTATCATTGCGCGTGAGTTTGTCAACCTCGTCAAGGGGCAGAGTAAGTGGGCAAAATACTAGAGAAGTTAGACTGATCATTAGGATGACCTTGGGCCTTCCTTATGAGCTTGACTGAATCTTTTTCGTTTTTGGGTGCCCTGACTATAGTTAAATGCCATTAATGAGCAGTATGGTGATCTCTATGGCTCTTCAGAATCCTAAGTCTTAATTTTATGGCATGCCTTGCAGTTGGGTTCATCGTCTTTATCATGTATCTCTCTTCTGTCTGACCGTTAGCAACCAAAGACCCCATATTGAGACATAACCTCAGAGCTGAGGGTGGTAATGCAGTTGACAATGAGAAGCATTTTCTCGATCTAACCATAAATAAGCAGAGTTCCAATATGCCAAGAACTGACAATTTTTCAGGCTAAATTAGGCCACCACACAAAATTCGGATCTCCGCCAGATCTCAACTTTGCCTCTTTCCACAAAGAGGAAATTGGGGGAATAGCGTGAAGCAATGATAGCTTCGAAAACTGTTTCATAGGGATCTTGAAGCGCAAACAATCCTTGGAAGTGGTATTTATCGCAGTCTTCAGGTTCAACAAGGGCGGAAAAGTCAATCCTCCGTCAAAGAATTCAGAGCCCAGAATGACAGCATTTGAAGATGCCTGGAGCCTTTAGGGTCTACGGCGATGTATGATCTAATATTGTCCACGTGTTTGCATGAAGCCAGCCACTACTGAGTTGGTAATGATAGACAACTGATCAATAGCGCACAGTCGGCTGATTCAAGGAAAAATTGACTCTACGCAACGAATGGATTATCAACAGGCAGGTCTACGAGAAGGAATGAGTAACTTTGTCGGTTCAGGCAAAAGGCCTGCAGAAACCGCAAATTCGCATTTCGAGGAAGAAACAACCCTCTCGCCAGGGACGATCTCCAGCTCAGATGAGTATGCAGCGAACCCACGATTCCTGCAGCTACAGGAGGAGTTGCGGGATGTACTCTTCACGGCAGTGGCCAGTCATGCTCCCACGAGGCATCAGTCGCCGAGACCGTCTGATCCGGTCGAGGACTCCGCGTCGGGGCTTTTGAGGAACAGTTTGGATTTCGCAGAGGTCTCGATCCCGAAGATCAGGCTGATCCACTACCTGAAAAACTGGATCATCGAGTGCGCTCCTCACCTGGATAAGTTCGATGAACAAAATCATTTTGGTGTGCATATTCCCGTCCTTGCTCAAAGCTCCCCTGCTTTGTTCTACGCCATCTTGGCCTTTTCGGCCCGGCAGACCGAACGCAAGGCTTGCCTGGACAAGTCATATGATAGTCTGGAGCTCTACCAACAGTCTATTCGGCTGCTGAGTCCGTATCTCGAAGCAAAAGATCCAAATGTGCTAGTGACGGTCTGTATCCTGGGGTGTCTAGAGCTGATGTCGGTAAGCCCGAGAGACTGGAGACGCCATGTCGAGGGCTGCGCAGCTCTCTTCGACGCGTATAACGTCAACGGTTTCTCTGGTGGTCATCTTCAGGCCGTCTTCTGGTGCTATGCACGAATGGAACTGTGTGGGGCAATTATCTCAGAGGGAACAGAAGGCACTATACTTCCCCTTCACAAATGGGTCCCTCCGCAGGCCGCCGATTCTGAAGAAGAGCGCGACATCATGATCAAGAATATGTTTTGCCAGGATGGCTGTTCGAATCCTGACAGGCACGCAAACTGGGCAGTGTATCTCTGCGCTAAAACGTGCAATCTGGCATGCCGGCGATCACGATTCCTGGAACTGGGCGAGTTGGATCAGAACGACACGAGACCGTTTTCTGAACAATGGAGTGGACTCTGGGACGAGCTGCAATTTTGGCACGAACATCGGTGTCCTGCCATGCTCCCGATCCGAACTACGACGACTGGCGGCGATCAGATATTCCCAGATATCCTCTTTGCGCACTGGGCAGCAATCTCCGGCAACCAGCTATATCACACTGCCTGCATCATGATGCTGCAGATGAAACCAGCAAACACCCCGCTCCTTTCTCCAAGCCCACACTCTTCCCCTGTTTGGCATGCGAGGAGGGTTTGCGGAATCTCATTGACGAACCCTCACAGTGGTAACCTCATCAACGCAATCCAACCACTCTATATCGCAGGAAAGCTTTTGAGTCATCGAAGCGAGCATCTCGAGGTGGCCCGACTATTCAAGAAGATCGAAACAAGCACCGGATGGGGTGCCCTGTGGAGGCTGAGGGATCTTGAGCGAGCATGGGGTTACGAGACAGGCGAAATTCTCTCAGCTATATGAGTACTGTTCTTCTATGCAATGAATGTGTTTAGTCAATTGACATAGTCGAATTCGGAGAATCTAGATTTTTATTGCACTATCCTCAGGCTAAATGGGAGAATGCGACGAAGTATGTGTCATTTTTATCTTTTTATTTGCATTATTTCGGCGCGATTTGTTGTCTATTTTGCTAAGCACCAAATCAATCCGTTCAAAATATAGGGGTTTATGTATGACTCAACTTCCCCAGATAACTACGAAATGACTCGTTACGGAAGAAATAAATGCCAGTTTCACGTGGGACGGGAATAATGCTTAACTGGAATCTAATATTAAAGTTGCGCATTGTGCCTCTGATCTCCTCAGTTACTGATGGATGCTGGGGAGTAAATTTTCACAAGATGTCTATCGCATCAGACCAAAGAAGCGGGTGGAGCCATCTGCTAATTTTTTCATCAAGTGTAGGCTCTCATATCCGCTTTAAGGATAGGGCTCATTGTGGTTTGCCTCTGGTGCGCCCAAATGGGAAATCGTAGCCTACGGTGTTCTCACGGTCAGACTGCGGGATCCCCACATCTCCGACACCCCGACTGGGTCAAAGCAAGATATTTCTCTGGGGAATTCCTGGAGTGAGCTGATCTTCATGGGCCAGACTCTTTCCTGTTCCTTGTGTTTATTGTGAGGAGAACTCCAAAGTCAATTGCCGCATACAGAAGAAAAATGGTTATAAAGTCATGTTTCCCCCGGGGTCGGTCCTCTCCAGTCGGTGCAGAAGTCTTCATCCCTTCTATTTGGAGTGCGTCTCAAGTGCGACGCAGAGAGTCACCTTCAAATTTTTATTTCATTTGACCAGACCTCAATATGGGTGGTCGTTCATCTTCCGACCTCGAGGCATCAGTCGCCCAGCAAGTGGGCTACGCGGAACATAGAGCCAAAATGGAGAAGAAAACAATGTGGCAGTCGCTGCGGGAGAACCCCAAGGTTCTGTTCATCGCCTTCTTTGCCTCGTAAGTGTCGTCCGGCTGCAGTGTCATGAACTTTTCTGTGCTGACCGACGAGTAGGTTTGGCGGGTTCGAGTATGGTTACCAACAAGGAGTGCTCGGCCAGTCCTTGGTGATGACTCGGTTTACTGAAAACTTCCCATCGGTCGTCAATTCCTCTGCGGCTACCGGATGGCTCACCTCCGTCCTCCAGCTGGGTGGGATTGTGGGATCCCTATCTGCCGGTGTCTTTGGGGAGATCTTCTCGAGGAAGTACACCATGTTCGCGGCATGCTGCTGGGTCATCTTGGGAAGCTATCTCTACGTTGGCGCTTCGGCAGGTACGGCCTCTCTCCTATATGCTGGGCGATTTTTTACCGGTCTGGGAGTTGGTCTTTTCAGCGGCGTGGGCCCCTTGTACAATGCCGAACTTGCCGCTCCGGAAATGCGAGGTCTCTTGGTATCCTTCTATCAATTTGCAACCATCTTGGGGATCATGATTTCCTTCTGGGTGGGCTACGGCAGCAATTACATTGGCGGCACTGGTGAAACACAATCCGATCTGGCATGGCGTCTGCCTTCCATCATTCAGGGCATCCCCGCTTTTGCACTTGCCTGCGGTATCTGGTTTATGCCATTCTCTCCCCGGTGGCTGGTCAAAGTCGGGAGAGACCAGGAGGCCCAGTCCACGCTCGCCTGGATGAGGAAATTGCCGGTGGACCATGACCTTGTGCAGATGGAATATCTCGAGATCAAAGCAGAAGCATTGTTCGAAAAGAGAGCCTTCCCCAACACGGCAGAAAAGGGAGTCTTTACGAACCAGTTGGCGCAGTATGCAAACTGCTTCCGGACGATGGACAATTTCAAGCGTGTTGGCACCGCATGGCTGGTAATGTTCTTCCAGCAGTGGAGCGGAATCGATGCCAGTATGTCCTTTCCAACTCTGCATTGCTGGCATGTCTTTGAGCTGACATTTTGCACAGTCATTTACTATGCGTCCAACGTCTTTGTCAGTCTCGGGCTGACTGGCGGGACAATCGCTCTACTGGCCACTGGTGTCACCGGAGTCGTGTTCATGGTGAGCACTGTACCAGCTATGGTAAGTCGTCTACTCTTAAAGTGCTACACTCCGCTGAATGCGTGACTAATGCTCCATAGCTGATCATTGACCGGGTTGGTCGGAAACCCATGTTGCTCGTCGGTTCGGTGGTGATGTTCTTGAGCATGGTGATTGTTGGCGTGATTGTTGCGAAGTTCCAACACGATTGGCCGTCTCATGTGGCAGCCGGATGGACTGCAGTTGGTAAGAGTCCCTTGGATAGTCGCCCTTGATTCCTTGCAAACACTGTCTTACCACCCTTACAGCACTAATTTGGCTCTACATCGCTGGCTTTGGCGCCACATGGGGACCAGTGTCATGGACGCTAGTCTCTGAGATCTTCCCTCTCTCGATCCGAGCAAAAGGGGCTTCAATCGGAGCCTCTAGCAACTGGGTGAACAACTTTGCCATTGCATTTTTCGTCCCGCCCATGCTCAAGTCGTGGCAATGGGGCACATACATCTTCTTTGCCGTCTTCCTTCTGGTTGGCATCTTCTGGGTCCAATTCTTCCTGCCTGAGACAAAGAACGTGTCCTTGGAGGAAATGGACCGGGTGTTCAACAGTCATACTGGTGAGCGCGACGCCGAGCTCCTTCGGGAAGCACAACACGATGTCGGATTGACGGCACTGGTGGCAAGGGCAGGAGGCAACGGTATCTCGAAAGAGCCAATTCCGGAAGAGAAGTTTGTGGAGAGGGTGTAAATAATGCTCTTCCTTATATGAGTTGGATGAGGTCAATGAATATGTTCGTTTCTAACATTTGCTTGCCGCATGAGTTGATATTCAAAGATATATATCCCGTGGATGATGCTCCGTCAAGCTCAAGTTTAACCAAAAGACTTGCTAAATTCTACATAAAGGTCCTTCTGTAAACATTATCTCATCATTTGTATTCTCCCTCAAGACAGTGACCTTTACTGATATTCGATACCCAGTCTAATCAACATACAGAGACGTTATCCATCGGCATCAGTGAACTTGAGCGGATGACAGCCAGATGAACAATTGACTCGAATCATTGTGCTGCGAGTCGAAACCAGGGTCATTCAGCTCTGAGTAACTCCGTAAGTCCTAACGATTTTATCTCTCTTTCCATGGCTCCATACGGCGTAGATAGACATTCTGGGAAATCAAGAAAAACATGAACAAGGAAAAGCAAAAAGAGAGGGACAAAAAAAAAGAAGGTATTACGTAAAAGAATTGTTTAGCGATTGAACTCTGATATGACCCACTTCCGATATGGAGGAGAACGAGAACCCGTCAATGTCATACGGTCAAGCCGCTTTTGATCGGTTAGCGGACGAGGTCTTAGCCTGCCTTTTCCGGGGTGCAGAGGCTCAGGGCCCCTTTTTGACCGCACATTGCCGGGATAATCTGGGGAGAACGGCCTACCACGATGCCGACCAAGAGAACTACCCCAGCAGGCAAACAACGTGTTCGCACTGGCTGCTGGACCTGTCGCAGACGGAGAAGGAAATGTAAGCAAGCAACTGGTTGACACCTGCTTCCTGTTCGTCAAAACACTGACTCCATCTTCTACTCAGGCGACGAGGCAAAGCCTTGCTGTGAAAACTGCACTGCAAAAGGGTTCGTCTGTAAATATCCTGGCAAAATCACCTTTGTCTCAGTCGCAAATCCTTCTGATCTACAATCCAATGGGACAAGATCAACGTACAGTACCATCAGAGTAAGACGACAGAATCACCACAGGGTGTGTCGAGTCCATTGACTGACAGTCGAATAGTTTGTAGATGAGGCCCCCTCCACAACACCTTTACTGCATGAGAGTGGGACTGTAGAGCATGAGCAAACTTCAGCCGAATGTCATGAAGAAGCTTCTGTGCTCCATTCTGAGCCTCTAGAACTTCTTCCAGCCCCCAATAACACCACGGGGCATCTTCCTTCCAGCAGTGCTGTTCCGGTTCAGCAGGCTCCGCGCGAGGTTTCTTTTAGCTCGCTGTCAGAAATTGCGACGGCTCATTGCGGCAATGATCCTGAGACAGGGTTACTGCGACACTACTGCTATGCGCTAGCCCCTTGGATTGACGTCGGTGATCCAAGCCGTGCTTTCGGCCTTGAGTTTCTGATCCTTGGTAGGCGAGTCCGACCACTTCTTGCTGCTATCCTCGCGCTTGCTGCTGCCCAAAGGTCGCTTGTAGCGCCGAGATACGCTGCCGATGACCTCGCCAGAAGCCTTGTGTTTCGCGAAGAATCGGAGAACGGCCTCGCTTTGCAAAATCATGCTGTCCAGCGGGTAGGAAACGCATTCTTTATGCTCCATAGCTTCTTTTCCTCCAGTCCATCGCAGTGGAAAACCTTGGTGGCTAGTTATATCAATGCTTCAGGAGGCCTCGGATCCCTGTCGGCCTCTGATGGAGGGTTTGATCAACCGTCTTTTTGGGTGACGCTCAGAATCGGTGAGCTTGTACAAAACTCCCCTGAGCATTGTTGTTAGCAACTAACACGGCCTAGATCTTGCCGCATCTATTATAACCTCTGGGCCTCCACAAATGCTGATCCGTCCCCAAGTGTCACCTTCAGAGTCAAATTCGATCAAACAGGTCTACCAGCATATTCTCCTTCTTCTCGCGCACACCTTGTGCTTCATCTACGGAGGTCCAACTACATATCTTGAGGGCCTGAGAGAAGAAGACAGAGTTCCTGCTTTGAATCCCGTATCGCAATGGACTTATCTGTGGACGGAATGTCGGAGATGGTATCAAAATCGTCCTCTGCAGGTACAGCCCGTCTTGGATGTTCGAGCTGTGCAGGCAGATGAGATTGACCCACAGAATGCTTCTTCCTTCCCAATCTTGGTCTATACTACACCCCTCGCACTAGTCGCAAATGCTGTCTACCATGTCGCGTCGTTTCTCCTTCTAACTCGCAAACCGCGCTTTGTGAAGACGCTGACCGGCCCTAAATGCCTGTCATCCTCTATCTGGCATGCTCAATCCATTGCTGGTATTGCAACTAGCAACGACACGGTGGAGCAGTGGGACCCGATTCTCATCGCAGCGCTGCTTCTCATAGCCAAAGATATGACTCACCATCTGCAACAGTCAGCGGTGTTGAACCGACTACGAAGGGTTACTGTTTTGACAGGAATTAACTTGGACTATGAGATCGAGTCTCTTCAATCCCAGTGGCGCATGTCACGATACGATGAACTAATTGCTTGAGACGCATCACACATGCTAGGGCTATTATGATTTCTACCTAGGCACTGTCCACCCATCGACTTCTAAAGCCGTTGGAATGCTCTGCATCGCACCGGGCTTCTGCACACATATTGCCGCGGCACGATTTGCCCGTCGTACAGCGGGCTCAATGGCGTTATCAAATCCTACCAGCGGGGCCGACGTGGCGATGAAATCAGCAAATGCCGCAGCGAAATACCCAACAAAGGTGTCGCCAGCGGCCGTTGTGTCAACCACATTTTGTACCCGGATCCCATCCACTAAGCCCTTTCTGCCGGTGCAAGTCGAGAAAAACACACCCTTTGCCCCAAGGGTAATTAGGATGATCTTGACTTTGGCGATGTCATGGAACTGCCTCGCCAGGTCTTCCGGTTTCAACTCGCCTGTCTTCTGCGCGCCGATTGGTGAATCTGCTGAGATGGATGCCTGCATCTGTACCGCTTCAGTCTCGTTCATGACCAGAACAGAGGTGTTGGCGAGCGCTTCAACTGGGACGCCATCTGCGAAGACCGGGGCCGGATTGAACAGAACATGTGTCGGGCTCCCTGGTTGGTTGAAATGCTTCATCAAACCCAATGTCGTATGTCTGGGAATCTCGCCTTGTAAAACAACCATCGCCGGAGGTCGAGGGTAGGATTGTATCGTGGCAAGAATCTTCTGAACATCGTCCATGCCCGCATGATTGGCCCCGGGCACCACCAGGATCCTGTTTTCGCCGTGCGCTGAATCCTCGACGATGATTGTCGCAGAACCCGTGCGGCTGTCCGTTCGCTCCTCGATATACTTTGTATCTACACCAGAATCCTCTAGCGTCGGTCGGATCAGAGTCGAGTAGTAAACGTCGTCGGAACCCACGGCACCAATCATGCTCACAGTGACTTTTGAGGCGTCACTGGAAGTGAGAGACGCGCGACCACATGCGACGGCCTGGTTCGCACCTTTCCCACCGGCCGTCACGGAGAGTGATTTGGCTGTCAATGTCTCTCCTGGCCCGGGACACCGAGATGTTGATACTGCAAAGTCGACATTCAGCGAACCAACAACACAGATGTGGCTGGTGTTGGAAGACATTGCTGGAATATTTGAGTGGAAGAATCAATCTTTAAGGTAGAGAGGAATGGATTTCCAGCGACAAGTACGAGTACATGCAACTAGGATATTTATGCCTTTACTTCGGTCCGCCTATACCAGGTGGGGCCGTCCAAATGCGGAAACCGTAGGCTATGCCCCTGGAATCTGTCCACAGCATGCAGGCATGAACTTGGTGCATTATTGTTAAGCAAACAATTCTCCTATAATTCCTTTATCTCCTTGTCGGACTTGATACATCCCAGCAAAGCAGAGCACATAGGATCTTGCGCTCGCCCAGTTACACCAGTCTGGGCCAAGTGAAGTCACCAAACTTGAAATATAAGCCTGGTCGCTTTCGTTCAACCACATTAAATGCCCTCGATATTGTCATGGATTGCTAACATAACCCTTATCCTTCGTATGACAATCATATATTGTTCAATGGATGGAGTGAAGTGCAGAATACTCTTCAAATAGTATGAAATCAGTAAATCATCCAGTCGGGAAGAGCTAGCGGTCGTCAGCAAGAATAACGGGGAAGGGTTGGTATCATTAGGTATTATATTTATGGAAGCTATGAGAGAAGCAGTAAAGGGCTGCTACGGACCAAGTCATTATGCTTGATAAAGCTATCTTACCAAGACTTGGTTGACCGAGGATAAGGCCTTGAATTATTGACATTAGTAACTGTGTGTTCATAGATGTCTAGAGATAAAGCAGTCTATTTCATGGATTTGGGAGCATGCTATATAAAATCAAAAGCTGTTATTACACTACTATTCTTGCACTACTATGTCTACCATGCTAGAAATGGCCGTCTAGACACATTTTTAGTCGAGTGGTTAGATAACTAACTCATCAAGGAAAATTCTGGAGGCCAGCAGAATGCAGCTACGGTCAAGAGAAGAATTCTTCTGCAGGCCCATTTTAGGCATCGATATTTCGTCTGAGACTGAGAGGCATTTCTTAGAGCCAATGGGCCTGCAAACCTTAATTGATGGAACCGAGGCCGTGCCGCCCTGTATGAGGGCAGAAGGCGATGGAAGCTGAAAGGAGAAAAGATTGTTAGGGATGTAGAAAACAGAAGATAATACCCTGTCTGCCAGGATAGCTCTACTAAATGAAGGTTACTGGTCCATCAAAAGGAATGACATCCTTTATGCCCCCTTCCACTAATAATAGATACCAGTATCTATCATGTTTATTGTCAATAATAGATAGCAAGAAAGAAATCATGAGTGGGGCTGTGAGGGAAAAAAAAAAAAACTTCATCGAGCCAAGCTTTTTCTTGGACAACGGTGACAGCCTGACAACAAATCCGACCAACTTGAATGGCTGATTCGATGGGCTGGGTCTTATAAGATTGCCCCAGTTTTCGAAGCTAAGAAATGCATAGTACATGATACTGATACAGGACCCTTTGGCCGGTGCATATAAGACTTTTTCTTGCTCTTCCTCTCACTTCCCTCTGCTCTCCTCTTGGTTCACCAACCTCAAATCTCTCCATACCAATTATTGGTGCTTCTATTTTATTGCACAGTTCAATTCTGCTACATCATAATCGATGAATAACCTTGGTTCTCCTGTCTTGTGCCTCTTCATCGCTGCAGTGGAATGCCATAACTGCAGACCCAACGTTGTTTGCCCAGAGCTTCTAGAGGAACGTCGCCCGCCATAAGACAAGCAGCTTTCGAGGCGTCAATGCGGTGAGGAGGATCAGTATACTCAAAACATGGAAAAGATTGCCTTCTGTGAGTCTTATCCTCATTCCGCGGTGCTCTTAGGGGACGCACACGCTGACTGTAACAGCTTAGTACAGTGTCTTTAGCTTTCATCGATCCAATTTATATCCGGCTACACTATATACAACCAAAGATTCGGGGAGAAAAGAAAGAAAAAGGAAGGAAAAAAGCAACATATCAACCCTGTACAAAATGAATCGCTTCGTGAATGTCCTGAGCAAGCCCGGGGCCAAGGCCGAGATCCAAGGCGTGGCTCCCACTCAGTTCACTGAGAAAGACGGCCTGGCAATAGAAAAGCCTAACACCACTGGCTACGCACCGAAAAGCAAACCCAGAATGCTAGATCGGTCGCTGGATTTCATCGTTCGGATGTCTGGCTCGGAGCCAGTCTTCTTCTTCATCCTCGCGGCCCTTCTCGCCTGGGCCTTGCTGGGGATAAAGTACGGGACCACAAACCTCTGGCAAGTCCTGATCTCGGACGTCCAGGCAATCGTCAGCTACGTCTTTGACTCCTTCCTTGTCAGACAGCAGCTCAATGCATATGATGAAGAAATGACCGTGGCCGCCGAGTTGCAGTCCCGCATCCTCAGTCACCGCAGGATGCTGGCCAAGTTGGACCTGGAAACAGACAAGAAAGATCCCGAGAAGCAGGCCCGATTGACGAGGATTGTAGCTCAGTACCAGAACGCTCCCGAATTCAGCGCAGAGCTCCCCGCTGAAACCCAGTTCGGACGGACCATCACTTGGTTCTCTCATGTATTTGGTCATATCGGCACAGTCACCGTATACTGGATCGGCGTCTTCGTTTGGATTGGGCTCGGACATCTGGACGGATACAGCGACAAGTGGCAGCTGTACATGAACTCGGCGTCCTCGGCATTGATGGTGTTTGTCTTTGCATTCCTGGCTAACATCCGCGAGCGACACTCTGCCTACACCCTTAGTTGTCTGAACGCAATCTTCAAGGTCGACTCAACGCTCGAATTTCGCCTCCGGCTCCTCACCGGCGATAACATTGACAACGATGTGGTCATTATCCCAGCGCCCAGGGTTAGCATCGTTCAACGTGTGATCTTCTACTACACGGATCTCGTCGGGACTCTGGTGGGCATTACCATCCTGCTCGTCATGATGATCGTGTGGGTGGCGATCGGACCTCTCCTGCACTTCAACTCAAACTGGTGGCTCATCATTGGCACTTACGCTGGTCTCATCGGTATGAATGACGGTTTTGTTCTCCGAAATCTGCAAGCTCGCCTTCGAGGTTATGCCGATCTGGAGTTCGAAAAGGTCGAAGCCGAAGACGACAAACTCTTTGAGAGTATCGGCCAACCCATACCGGTCAAAGAGGTCACTGAGAACAGAAATCTCACACAACGCGTATCCGATGCAATGAATCGGGTTTGTGCGCATGAGATCACCGTCGTGGCCGGCTTCCTTACCATTCTGGGCCTTGTTGCTGGAGCAAGCGCAATGAAATGGACGCTGACGGGCCAATTGCTGTGCAACGTTCCACCGAGTTTGATCGAGTCATTCTTCATGATCATTTTGATCACAGGTCACAACTCGGCTGACGATCGTAACCGACTGGACCTGCAGAATCTCTATGAGAGGCGTCTGAGTTTTCTGGCTTTCGTCAACGGTGTACAGACGCTTCGAGACGAGTCGAATGACTCACAGAAGCACTAATCATTATGTTTTTGCTCAATGAAGACAATACATCCGTCCATCAGAGGATTGTGGGGGGGGGGGGGGGGGGGGGGGTGGCTAAATTTCCGTTTGCTTGCTTTCCCGTGGGCTTTTTTTTTGTTCAGCGGGTTTAAAGCGTGTTTTTCTCTTGCCTTTTATACCACTTTTGCCGTGCCCATCACTTTTCTATGTTTGGCTCGGGTGCACTCTGTGCCTCCACCTCCATCTAGTCAACCGATAGCTGTACGCCTTGT